GGACAATACCAAGAGTACCAAGACTGGGTAAGTAGATGCAAATCGAGGAACGCAACGCAGTGGATGGATTGGGTCGTTCTATGATGGATCCCATAACACATGTTGGTAACCAGTCGTTGTGCTGGAACCACAATCCGTCTGAAAAAGGCTTGTTCGGCAACGGGACGAAGAAAGGGAAAAAAGCGTGCTACATAAACTCCAAGATGAACCCCGGATTCTTGACGTTGGTTAAGGCGAGGAATGATGACCGGAAAGCGTGATGCTCTTGCGATACAAACGAATCGTGAAGGCTGACCTGAAATATGTGGTCGAAAACATCAGCACGCACGCACTGCAAACGACTTAAATGATGGGCAAGAACCCGTGGAGGGAAGGTACAAAAGTTGATCGAGTGAACTTTTTAACTGGTAGGGGATGGCGCCCGCTGTCGTTACACATTCAAATCTACATGTCCTCACGGTTTCGGTTTATTCAAACGACCTCTTTTTCTCGGCTGCACCGTCTTGTCTTTGCACTGAACTCCGGGCACAGTTGGGGTCCACCTACCAATCCACATCTCCAAAACTGATGGGGCACCGAAGTGTTGCCCGTGCGCCGCGTCTTTGGCTCTTTAACGGGCTCTATTTTTCAAAGTCACTCTCCCACATACCCACTTTTTTTGCGGTTGGTATTTTTGGATTGAGGTCGAAGTTGTTCCCCACAAAAAAGTGTCCGTCAAATCTTCCGATCGCATCGTCCTCCAGGACAACATGGAACCCCTCAAAGCTGACCGATGTTGTCTTTTGTCCCTATCCCAACATTGATGAAGGGGCTCTACGGAACTTTCAGGCGAAACCGGAGAAATAACTGAGCTTCGAAACATACCATGCACTCTAGCCATGTCCTCGATAAACAATGGGTGGATATAGCACGGTCGCCTCAGGGGAAAAAGAAAGCGATCTTCACTTCTTTTTGGTACATAGAACACGGACCGACAGCCGTCGTCCGGGGCCATCCACAGCATGCGAGATACAGATGCGGACGAGAATACACGCATCCGCCCGTATTTGCAACCGCAGCGATCCAAAAGCGAAACAAATACAAGGTGCCGAATGATCCGGATAACCGCATTCCTCGATTTTACCAACCAGTGCTGTACAATTTGATGGCGTCCCTTGGAGTTGTCAAAATATATTACATCGCGTCAAACCACAGTACGCAGTTGGGGGACGATGTGGTCGCCCGTCATCTCAAGCACCTATGGACTGCGCAACTGACACGGACGCGGCCATTTCGGCATATCTGATGCGTGGCTTTGAGCCGTTAAAGGGAAATGTCCATGGGAAGTAATCACGAGCAAGGTTAGGGCAGGTACCGCACAATCTTGATTTAAAACTGTATAATCGTAAATATGATGATGCGAAAGAAGGCCTGGAGCGAGGCCCAAAAAGTCATTCGGGCAACTTTTTAAGTGGCGGGGAAACCAAATTCCTGCCCTTACAGGTTAAATCGAATGGCCGAACAGTTCATTCAAACTGCGTCGGTTTCTTGGTGGGTGAGCTTTGCCGCGCGTCTTGATGACCATAAGGCATGATGCACTTTACCTTTCGACGCACAGAGGAGAAGCAACGCGCCGGTGTGGTCAGACCAAGCTGAAAGACAAACAACACAACACAACATACACTTTGCCAATCCAAAAAAAAACCGCACGGAAGAGTTGACACAGAACGAGAAGGAACGGATACCCCCACCCGTCCATGTAGTTGCGACTATGGATGGATGCGTGTAATCTCGTTTGCATCTCCGTGTGGATGGGCCCAGACGCGCGGCAACGACGGCTGTCGGTCCGTGTTTGCATACTCGCACGGAGTTAATCTTCTCTTAGGACACAACCAGGTGACCGTGGTGGCTTTTTGGTGAGGACATGGCCCGAGTGTGTAGTAATGGTTTGCCATTAAGTTACTTGCACAGGTTTGTTTTAGTCGTTATCATCTTGTCTCGATGATTCCTACTCCTGTATTCGGTTTCACCCGGCATTTTTTTTGTGGACATGAATCCGACCGGCAAAACAAAAAGCGAAAAAAGTGATTTCAGGTGTTGCGTTTGTTGTCATTTTGGGAAAAACGGAGGATGGTGCTCGTCTCTCGAAAGTCATTCAAACGGTGCCAAAACCGCAAGACTGCGGAAGTCCCATATGGAAGAACGCACACGATTGTGTGTTTAGACACAGCGAACGAAAGCGCAGTCTTCCGTATTCTTTGGATAGGTGAGTGCCCGGAAGATAAGGCCAAGGGGTTCGTTCAAGAGGCGGGGGACGCTGAGCGGTGTGGGTGTGTTGCTGTGCGGTATTGATATTGGACGATAAGACTGGACTAGGAACGGATGCGCAAATTGCCCCAGGGCCGTGACGCACGTTCAACGACGCAGTGGATGGATTCGGGGTTCCACCAATTGCTCTATCTGTGGCTCTCTCACATTTTTTTGGTAATCGGCTCGTTGTGCTGCCATTACAACTCGCAAAGAACTCTGGTCCTATAAGCGTTGTTTGGCAACGGGACGAAAAAAAGAAGAAAATGCGCCGGATACCCTCCCATAGGCCAAGACGAACCCGCGACCCAGGCCGTTTTGACGTTGTTTGAGTGACTGTAAGCGTGATGCGCTCCACCTTCCTCACACAGAGGACAGACAACGGCCGGTCCTTCCTGTGGTTAGACCACGCTAAAAGACAAGCAACACAACGCAACGTACACTGTGCCCAGTCCAAAAACAAAACAAAAAACGATTGGGAAAAGACACGGACCGGAGGAGAAACGGATACCCCACCCGTACACGGTCCACCGTATTTTGTTCCAACCTTCACCATGAAAATGGCAGGAAGGTGTTTCACTGATTAGATCATTTACCGGTGTAACTATTACAAAGTCGGAAATAGGAACGCGCAAACTCTGAAAAAGACAAAAGGAGTAGGTATATCCCGTCCCTGCCCAATGCAGGAGAATAGACGAGAAGGACGTCTGTGTTACGGGACGAAAAAAAAAGAGAAAAAAAGCCCTACACAAATTCCTGATGGCCAAGCTGAACCCGAATATCAGGCCGCTTGGACGACCTTCGGGGCCGACAGTAAAGCACGATGCTCCTTGCGACAACAAACGAGTCTTGAAAGGCTGTCTTCAAATCTGCGATCAAAAACATCATGCAAACGACAAAGAGGAAAACAAACACCTGCGCCGCAACGAGTAGCCCTCAAGAGTCGGCTTTGTACATGTGCTGGCGGGAACAAAAAGCCCCACGCGAACAAAGGGGATGCCGACCGTGACTGGGACGCACCGGTATTGCTCCTTATGCTCCTTATTGATCAAACACCGGCCGTTTTTGCCGAATCCTGAGGTACACCCCACCGATAAATACCCCTACCACGGCTCTCGCCAACTCAAAAAAAGGCTGGCAGTATGAAAGACAAATGTAGAGGCGTGGTGGAATGGATACCCCGCGCGGTGTACAGTATACTCAGTATTCACGCCTCGCATACCGCCAAGTATTTCATACTTATAACAGGGCGGAGGAAAAGGGCGAATGGGATGATGACCGTGTTCCTTGTGATACAAACGATCCGTCGATGCAAACGATAAAGCGGAAAACACGCCCGCGCAACGCAACTCAAAAGAGTCGGCTATGTACGTGTGCTGGGGAAAACACCCCACGTCACAAAGGGTACCCAGACCTTCACCAGGACGTACTCTATTGCTCCTGACGGATTAAAAACGGGCCCCCCCCCTAAATGCCCTACCACGGTTCTCGCTGACTCAGAAAAAAAGCTTGGCGCTTCAAAGTCAAGTATTGCCGCGATGGAATGGTCACCACGCACAATCTACAGTATTCGTGCTCGCGCACTTGCTCGCGCACCGGTGAGATTTCAAACTTCCCACAGGCCCAACGGGACCACCATCAGATACTGTAGTAAGTATTATCACGGTTCTTGCCGACTGAAAAAAAGACTTGCGATCAATGATCATCATTAAGCGCCCGTGAGATGGATACCACGCACGGTCTATAGTATTCACACGCCCGTGCACCGTCAAGTATTTCAAACTTATAACAGGGCGGATGAAGAGGGCGGATGGCACTACCATCAGGAATTGTAAGGAGTATTACAAAGTCGAAATGGGAAAAAAATCCAAAAAAAAGTAGGTAATCGAGCGTATACCGCGTCCCTGCGCAGTACAGGGAAACGCACGGGAGTGATGATGTCCGTCACTTTCCGCGTATAAAGACCCTAAAATGCCTGTGCATCATTCAGTACACAATCCCAGAAGGATCACAAAAAAAATTATTTGCGTGCACCTCTCCAACAACGGGAGGGAACGGATACCCCTTCCCGTCACATTACGACCCCGCCGTACCAGGAAAGCACCACAGGGCGGGTGGCCTAACACGGAAGAAAGGACGTCTGTGCCCCTACCACAGTTCTCTCACGCGCGGTCTATGCTCCTGCACCCATGAGGAATTCAAACATTCAACATGGATATGTGTAGATGGATGGGTAAATGCGGATACTGTAGGGAGAATTACAAAGTCGGAAATATGAAACCGCAATCCTTCAAAAAAAAAAAAGGGGGGAACAACGAAAATCCGGCGTACACACCGCATCGCTGCGCAGCACGCAGCAACACACGGGAGGAATGACGTCCGTCATTTTCAGTCTGATCACACCCACGAATCTGCTACATGATGGTACAATGCCCACAGGGATCACAAAAAAAAAATGCGTCTCAACCTCTCCAACAACAGGAGAGAACGGATGCCCATACCCGTCACATCAACTTGCGGCGGAAGGGAGAAAGCTCCACAGGGCGGGTGTCCATTGGAGAAAGGACGTGTGTGCTTTCTACTGTTTATCACACCCAAATCCCCTCTGCATGGTTAAATGATTCCCAGCCTCACAAAAAAAGTTTTTCGCTCCTCCAACACCGGATACCGATCTCACTAACATCACCATGCAGCAGACGGAACAAAGCTCCACAGGGCGGGTGGCCTAATGGAGAAGGCGTTCGACTTCGGTTCACGGGCACCGCTTCTGGCGATGTGTTTGTGGAGCAGTTATCGAAAGATTGTGGGTTCGAGTCCCATCCTGCTCGGTTATCGCTCATTGGTCTGGAGAGTTATCACCTTTTTTGCATTTTGTTACCTTTTTGAGTTTTGGAATGTATTCGGTCAACCGGAACGGTCAATGTATCGGACGACTTTTTTATTACCCCCCACGTCACTCTCCCCATCACAAATCCCTAAACTTATCCGCCGCCTCGACAAGCCTACTCCTAACCCCCACCTCCCTCGCCGAATGCCCCGCATCCTCGACAACCACAAACTCTGCCTCTGGCCACCGTTTATGCAAGTCCCATGCGGTACGGAAGGGGCATACCATATCGTACCGGCCCTGGATGATGACACCGGGGATGTTATGGTGGCGGATGGTAGGGACGTTGTCGAGGATGTGTTGAGGGGTAGGGAAGAACCCGCGGTGGTGAAAATAGTGGGATTCGATACGTGCGAATGCGAGGGACCAAGTTGGGTTGGAGGATTTTGCGAGCATTGCGGGGTCTGTTGTGGAGTCATGTTGAGTGAGGAGGGAAAGGGGGAGAACGGAAAGGGGAGGGGGAAGGAACGTACCGATGAAGAGGCGGGAGGTGGCACATTCCCATTTACTCCATGATGCCGCGCAACGTAACTGTTCGGCCGTGTCTGGGCCGGTGAGGCGGTTGTGATACGCGGTGACCAGGTCCCCGTGTTCGGTGGGGGGGATGGGGGCGAGGTAGTCTTCCCATACCTAAGTGTAGCGGGGTGAAAACGGTGTTAGTGGGTGGATGAGTGGTGGGAAAATTGCGAAGCAGGGTTCGATTTGGTAGCAAATCCGGACTTTTGCTGAAGCACAAGCGGTATGCTTCGTCCGTGGGGAAGGAGTGTACACAAGCTCCAATTTGCTTCGCAAATTGTAAACGCGTTTGCTGCGCAAATCCGGGCCAACTTGGGGTTAGACTCGGAGCTCGCATGCGCTCGCCCTCCAGTCTAACCCCAAGTTGGCAGGCGCATCGCTTCGCTCGCGCAGGGACGCAAAGTTGGGCTTAAACTCGAGGCTCGCATGCGCTCGCCCTCGAGTTTAACCCCAACTTTGCTATAAGGCGCTCGCCTTCGGCTCGCGCAAGGCCCTGCACCCATCGCTATCACTCAGTCGCACTCGAAACTCACATCGGGAAACACATGACTAGCACCCTCCTGATAAAACCACTGAATCTCACTATCCCTCAAGGTAAATATCCCCCGTAAGATCAACCCTTTGACACTCTCCGGATGCGTTTGAGCGTACGCGAGAGCGAGCGTTGATCCCCATGATCCTCCGAATACGACCCATTTTGGGATGTGGAGGTGTGTGCGGATTTTTTCAATGTCTGCGACGAGGGACCATGTGTCGTTGTTTTCTAGGCAGGCGTGTCTACAGTGCAGGAAGGGAACCCTTTGGTTATCATCCTGGTTATTCAACAAAGTGCCATTGCAGGTTCGCGAGCCACAAACCGTACGGAGTAGATTTTCCTGCGCCGCGTTGATCAAATAAGACGATTCGGTAAACCGCTGGGTCAAAGTAGCGTCTATGTACGGACCATGAGTATTATGGAGGCGCTTTCAACATAGGGTGCGGGTACGGGAGAAATGGGCGTACCTATCCTCTCCGGATGTCCCACCGCCGGGTCCGCCGTGAAGAAACACAACTGACAACATGAACCATTTCAGCATGCCGTGAGCATTTCACCGCCATCCCTCGCGCATATCAACAAGCAAACACCATCCATTACCAGGCTTCCCGTCCCTGTTCCCACTCTGCTCGTAGTAGATAGAGTGAGTGTCGTCTACTTTGAGGAAACCCGTGTCGAATGGTTCTATTTGGGGGTAGAGGTCACGCAGTTGTTGTTGTTGTTGTTGTTGTTGGGTTGACATTGTCCTGTTGAAGAAGGAGGAAGCAGCAGCGTTGTTGTTTTTTGTGGATATGCAGCGAGGAGCGGGAGTTGTGGGAAGTTGCCGGTGGATGGCGAGGAGGGTGAATGCGAAGGTCTGTCCCTGCTGGATACCCACAGCTTATTTCCCCTGTGAGCCCTGCGGCCCCAGGAGCGTACTAACAAAGTCTACCTACTGTAGATAGTCCAAATCCTACCTACCTATATAGTATCCCGTAGCAATGATGGACAGCAACACAACCCACGGCCTCCTCCGCCTCTCAGACGAACTAATCGCCCTGGTCTTTATCGCGATGACTTATCCCGCCTGGAATGACCTCCGCACAGCCAGCCGTGACTGCCGGAGATGGCGCGCCATCCTGTCCTCAAAAAACACCCCCCTATGGCGTCAACTCTTGATCGCTCACTTTGACTTTTCCCCAATCAACACTCGGAGGGGCGCATTCTTACCTGTTCAGCAGGACCTACCGTTACCCAGACGGCAAAGCTCCTGCTTCATATTGGGCCGAAGAGTGCGCTACCTGGAACTTTGGACAAAAGGGTTGCAAAAGGTAGGCGCGAGCGAAGGCGATGCGCCTATGCACGAGCGGAGCGATGTGCCTGGTGCTAAAATGGGGTAGACTCGAGGGCGAGCGAATGCAAGCCTCGAGTCTAACCCCAATCTAGCACGCCGGCACAAGCGAAGCGACGTGCTCTGGTGGGATGGTGGGATTGGCCAACTTGGGGTTAGACTTGCTCTAACCCCAAGTTGGCCCGGATTTGCTGCGGGACCTGGTTTCACCACTCATCCACACATACGAAGCATACCGCTTTTGCTTCAGCAAAAGTCTTGATTTGCGCAGCAAATCAAACCCCGCTTCGCGACTGTCCCACACATACGAAGCTGGATTTGCGCAGCAAATCGGACCTTGTTTACATTGCTTTCATACACATCTGGTGTCATCATTCGACCCATATGTTCAATCACCTGCTTTACTTATAATCGAATTCCTCGTCCAAAAGTGCGGAAGATGATGATGATACAGATGCGGAAGACGATGACACTAGTGCCGAAGATGATGACACTAGTGCGGTAGACGACGACACCAGTGCGGTAGACGACGACACAGATGGGGAAGACGATGACACCAGTGCGGTACACGACGACGACGACGACAACGACCTCCTATTCCACTACCGCCCCTCCCAATTCTCCTGGCTGCACCAGTGCCAACTCGAGGGCAACTCCACCGCCCACTTCAAGTCGAACCAAGACCCCTACACCCTCTACGCCGACCTGACCTACATGGCCCATCTGGCCCGGTGGCTAGAATCGGAAGACAAATCATCCTACGTGTCTGGAACCTTCGGTTACATGTATCCTTTCATCCTCGACTTGCCCGTCATCAAGGCCGACGAAGGTGAGTGGTGGAGACGGATAGGCGTGAGCGAACTGTGCGAGCGAAGCGATGCGCCTGCTGCCTTGGGGTTAGACTTGAGAGCGAGCGAATCCATGCTCGAGCAAAGCGATGCGCCTGCCACATTCGCTCGCCCTCGAGTCTAACCCCAAGATGGCCGGATTTGCAAAGCAAATCCGAATTGGGGGGGGTCAAGGGGGGTTGCCAACCCCCCCTTGCTTCTAATTCACTCACTCAGACATACAAAGCATACCGCTTCTGCTTCAGCGGTGCCTTTATTTGCGTATCAAATCGCACCCCGCTTCGCGACTTTCCCACACATACTTACCAAGCGCACCGCTTTTTTTTGCTTCAGCAAGGGACGCGGTTGCAGTCAAGGTGTTGGAAGCGTTTGGGTTCCACCCGTACTTTTTCGAGTATTTGAAGGATTACGTGGTTCCACGTGTCGCGCCGTATGTGGATTGCGTGGGTGGGGTTGAGGAAGATGGCGGCGAAGCGACTGGGTCGCGGGATGGAAATGGCGACAGTGACAGCGATAGTGATGGGGATGGGGATGACCGCGAGGAGGAGGACAAACAAGAAAAAGAAGAAGACGAACCCTTCCGCATCTCCATTTCAGATTTAAAGTACCGCCAAACCCAAGCACCCCAAGAAGGCGACAACAATAGGCTGGCGACGACGCGGGTGGGGCATGGAGAAGGGACGATGTTTTGGTTTGGGAGACGGAGGAATAGAGGGAGGAGGGTGGTGGGGTTTGCGTTTCAGGTTGAGCGGTATGAAACGTTGGCTGAGAAACGGGAAACGCTTCAGCGGTACATTGATGAATGTAGCTGATTGATAACTTGAGGAACTCTAAACTTTTTTTTTGTCGCTTTTTTCGTTTTTGATGGTTTCGAGGGTCGGATTTTCGTGTCCACAAGAAAAAAGGAATACAATTAACACCACACACTCGGGCCATGTCCTCACCAAAAAAAATGCGTTTCGCACCATCCCTTAACTTTACAGTACAATCTTAGGGCGTTCCCACTTACTGCAGCCGCGCGGTTGAACCCCACAAACCAAATAGCGTGGTATCAGAAAAGAAGTTGCAGCGGGGGCAACTGGTACGCCAATGCAAAGGGAGGATACCTGCATCCATACGGAATGAAATACAATTGCACCTCAGAAGAACCCGGAATGAAATACAAAAAGTGGTTGCCAACCGGGTAAACCTTTCCCCTTCGCCTACCCAGACCAAATTTACAATTTGATGCTTCCCGACCAACCTGCAGCCCGCGCGTGTTGAGAAACCACAGAGGTAAGTAAAGTGTGCCAGAAACGTATGTGCGGTAATAGTATGTTACGTCGACCTACAATAGTTATGCCTTAGTCTTCAGCAAGCGGACGGCGGGATGGATGGTGAAGGACTATACTGGACGCTGTCGGGTCGGTTAGAAGAGGGACGGTGGTAGCCGCGCCTATGGATACGCAACTGACTGACACGTATGTGGCCTTTTCGGGCATGCGTTACCCGTGGAGCCAGTGAGAAGTGAAACCGTGCAATTGTGTATATGATGATGCGCAGGAAGGTGGGGAGGAAGGCAAAAAAAAAATGATCTCATGTCC